GRMMGGGGCACTTCAGGGGGCCAATCAGATTTCAGCTGGGGCCAATGCCMCTGTAGCCCCGCCYCTAGAACCACCCYTGAGTCTTTATGCTGAGTGCATGCTTGTACCAGATAGGTTTTACCAAAGTAGCTCCAAAAACCATAAAATAAACTGGATGGGGCATCACTGCAGCAAYCGTTTTGAACTTTGATCCAAATCTACTTTGGAAAAACAAAAACTAACGTACGCAAACGACCATCCGTAGTCCCAGGACTGCGGCCTCCAGTCTTTAGGCCCGATRCTAACAGTCATCTGAAACACTGTGGAGTACATCATATGAGCTACCATCCCCATCATACCTGACGGAGGCAGAAAATAAACAGTATAAAATCAGTTTCAATTTAAAAAAMGAGCACAGTTTTGAACMGTTTGTGTAAAAAACGTTCTCACCTGAAAGAATGGTGCACATGGCAGCGTAGGCGTTGATCTTTAAGGAGCTCATTTCTTTTTTTGCACAGAGGCACATGGCCTCCACACACATCAGCAGGAAGCCCATTGCAAGCAGGCCGATGTACATGAACTCACTGATGACGGAAAACCACAGCACGCCTGCAGGATCAGGAAAAAACACATCRCTTTCAAAGGTTTGTTTGTGACAAGGAGTTTGTGTTTCTTTTACATGTTTTTGTTAAAATGAAATTGCACCAACCTTGTGTCTCTCCTGGTGTTAGTTCAATAAAGCTGCGACATTTTTCCACCTGATCATCACCTGAGAACAAAAACTTTTTTTATAAAGTAGATTTTACTTTCAGAGCGCTTGGTGAGGTGTTTCAATGGTTTTATGTTCAAATGAAACTCCTCTTCAGACGTTCTGCTCCTTTTTGTCACCAACCTTCGTTGTGTCTCTCACAGGACAGCCAGAATCCAGTGTGGAAGTATCTCAGCATGTATTTGTCCTCGCCTGTTTCCCACAGGTAATGGACGGCGTTGGCCAGCTGCTTCTTCCTGAGCTCAGCCAGTTCTGCTTTCTGCTGCGGGGACAGCGTCACGTTGGGGACTGGGTTCCTGGGGTCCGGGGTGGGAGCCTCTGAGTGGGACAGAGTGAGARAGAGGAATCCATTCAGAGAAACAGTGGTAAAGCAGAGAATAAAAAGCTTTCATAAAACAAAACTGGTGAGAGGTTTTCAGACATGTTCCTGAAGAACTGCAGGAACACATGAAACTAAAACTAWGAACTGTGTCTCCTCCACACTGTAACACAATCCAGCTTTAAAACACTGTTCTATAAGTCAGCTGTGATGCTTTTATTGCRTGGAGACAAATAGGCTTAACACTGAACAACAGACAGAAGGTTAAAAAACACAGAAAAACTACAGCTGGAGTGCGGCTGAGATTAGAACAAAGCTGGGATTATATGAATCTTTCATGAAAAAATGTTTCAAAATGAAAGCCTCAAGCAGACGTGATTAAGGTCACACACCTTCATGAAAGGCACTGAACATGTTTATAACATGTAGAAAATGTTTATTTATGGTTCTGCATCAGAAAACATTATTATTGTGCTGTTGTGTTTGAGTGAGTTGGTTTGACTCAAATATGAAGAAGATTTTAAGCAAATTTGGATGTAAATCCAGCATTTAGATGCGCAGCAATGAAGCACATTATTTGTTTTTAACACAGCAAATATTTAGTTTAGATTAAAAAAAGTGGTCACAAATATCTGTTTTTATTATAAAGCATCAAATATTAAAGTAACATTTTTATTGATTTGTTGTGAAACAAATATAAACTGTGCAAAAATGGAAGTACATTTCAAAATGTCTGACTTTCTGTGGTTTTTTGGTACCTACTGACCACGCAAAGTAAATGTATTTATCTGTTTTCCTGTGTACACAAAGATTTATGTGTTTTTATATGTCAAGGAGGAAAACACTTGTGCCTTTGTTTTAAACTAAACTTTAATCTTCAAGCTAAACTGAGGCAAAACAAGCATGCATAGTAGATCTGCACATGGATCCTGCTCCTTCCTGTCTGTTGACCAATAGGAGAGGAGCTGACCCAAGAAGCCTCGCCCACCTTGTTTGCATAATGAGGCAGAAATGCATAAGGTAAAGTAAAAACAGGAGACAGAAATGTAAAAGCAACACATGGAAATAAAGACTTGT